AGAGAGAGAGAGAGAAAGGGCAATTACACAAATATAATCTTCAAAATTACTTGTATTGCGATCGTCGTAACTAAGTGAAATGCTGCACATTATTGCACATGTCTTTTAGAATTTACTATAATTATCTCTCTCCTTCTCTCATCTACTGTACAGTAGGCCATAAATCTCGTAAATTGACTTGGCTGTCTATTATTTTACCACAGTGCACAATCTTCCTACAAAAGTCGCTGCAACTTTGCATCACTGAGCAAATAAAACCCGCAAGAAGAGAAAATCGGTGAAAGGCCGATCAATTGCACTTAAATAATTGTAGCTTCAGTCCAGTTTGTATTTCGAATAATGAGCATTTCTCGATAAATAAATTCGTGAGTTTATGTGACAGTTATTTTTATCGAGAAAGTAAAAAGATTTTAATATCAAACGAATCAGGAAATCAAATATTCTGAAGAAATTAAAAGCTATTTCATTAAATATATTTGCATTTTATGCAATTAATGCCAATATTATATATGATAAATAATCCTTTGCAATCATATCTTATATCTATTTTTAGTGAAGATTTAAAGTTAATATTAAATGTAAGACGTGAGAAATTGTAGTCTGATGAATTTATTTATATCCTATGCAGTAAATCTTTTCGGAGTCAATAAATAAATTAAAAATTTCTGAAACAATTAATCTGATAAAATATAAACAAATTTTGTAATATAAAATAAATTTAACAAATAACAATCAATGAATTAATTATGCAAAATATTAATTACTAAATAGTAATTAGTAATGTAATAATAATTATATATTTACAGATTGAAATAAATGTAAAATAATTATTTTCGTTTTATCTAACGTAATATTAACTTGATTAAAAATAGTATTATTTATTTTTGCTATAAAATTATATATATATAATGAATATAATTATATATATATATATATATAATTTATATATATATATATATATATTATATAATATATATCTATATATATATCTCACATTTTATTTTTTACTAGTAATTATACTTAAAACACAGTTTTAAATAAAATTTTTGTTAAAACAAAGAGATATATTTTATACAGTAAAACATCTTCTATTTTTCTTTCTATTTTATTTAAAAAAATTTGTACAAAAGTTTGGAGATTTCAAGTTTGAAATAAATCTTTTAAGAAAAAAACTGATACTTCGTAATCGTGATAATGAAAGAGTTATTTAGCTTATATTGCATTATATGATTTCAAAATTTTTAGTAAGGAATAATAGGAAAAAATTTGCTGACACATCTGTATTGATCAAAATAGCTTATTCAGAAATTGCAGAATTATGATTTGCTAATCTTGTGCTTGATAGAGTTTATCATACAGAAGTATCGAATTCATCGTGCGTTGCATTTTCATGCATGCTCATTACCTTTTGCACTTTCACGTTCTCTTTCGCATGAACTAAATTGGCTCGAATGACAGGGCATCGATGAAATGAAGTCGTTATATGCTCTTTTACAAGTCGTAACCGCATCACTTCTTTCAAAACAACCGTTCTCTCTTTAACATTCTTTTTTTGCTTCAAAGCAGAAGGTTGCGAATATGACCGTCAGAGTTTTCATAATCAAGAATGACAGGTTCATGATCAATGATGACATAAAAACCATTTCAATTTTGAAATTATTAATTTTTTTCTCTTTAAAGTTAAGAGAACATAAGTGCAGAATTAAAAAAGAAAAAAAAATATTAAAATCAAATTTAAAAAAGTCTAATTTAAGATATTTCTTTCATTATTTTCTTTCATTTTTATTATTAAAATATATTTTAAAATTAAATTTTTAATTATTTTTTCTTAGTTTAGAAAGAATCTAATTATGTAAATTAGTATCATCTTCAGTTTATATAACGAATTATCTTAACATTATAAAGTTAAGTTAAGTTACTTAAGTTAACTAAAGTTAAGAAATTAAGTTCAATGTGAATAATAGCGTCATAGTATTGTGAACTATGTGCCTTTATATTAATATTACTGCCTTTATAGATTTGTTTTTTAAATAGAATAAATTTAAATAAATTAACAAAATTATGTACAATTCGATTTACATTGCAGATGAATGATTCATCTTATATATATATATCCTGAATAATTTCTTGTTTATGCAAATTAGCATGTTATACGTTATAACATACGATGATAGTAAATAAAACATAACAAAGCTTGTTTTGTATTATACATGTATTATATTGTATTACATTACATTACCTAGATTATTATTATTTTTATTATTAAAAATACAGATAACAATTTCTTTTTTCCGAAAAATAATTTACGAGAATTAATTTATTTTAATAAAACAATTTTTGTATAAAAATAAATAATGTTACACATACGTATATTTTGTATTATATCCGGTGATTAAAAATTTCAATAGCATCAATGAATTTATTTTAAAGATAATGGTAATTTTAGGAATAATTTCATTCAAGTTTTAAATGTACACATTTTTTTTATTTTTAGAGCGATATATTTAATAAAAAGAAAAAAATTGTGAATTTTTTATTTGCATGTAGTTTAATTTTATTTTCCAATACTTTACATACTTATTTTATCTATTTGAAGAAAAAACTTATTGAATTATTTTAGTTTTGTTAACAAATTACTATTTTAATTTATATTACGAAATATCGTTTGATATTACAAAAGAATTCATAAATTTAATTAGAGAGAAAATAAAATAAGTAAAGCGTGGTATCATATTTTAAACATCTAAATCGTTATTATTCCTTTGCTTTTGTTTGTGATTAATCTATGTAAATTACAAGATTTCTTTGGCCGTTCATTTTGTTATATAACATGGCAATCAAAACAAATACGGTAAAGCGGTTTTTCTAGATTTTATCCTTTTATCCAATAAAGAAAATGTACTTCTATGCAATACAAAACATTTATACGTAATTGTCAAGACGTGCAAAATTACAGCTAATCGTTGCGTCATAACTATAGATTACATTAGAATATTGTATTAATTTAATGTAACCAATCTGCTATAAACATATAGTAAATTGAGATGACACATAAAGTTGCATTCTTGGAAAGAGAAATATCAATAGGATCAAAGTATATCAGTGTATACATTTTTGTGAAATTAATATAATCTAAAAGAAAATAGAAGGGAAAAAAGGAAACAAAAAAATGTCACAGAAACAAATTATTTAAATTTTTATTAAAAAATTTTTTTTTAATTTTTATTTAAATCTAAAAACTTAAAATAATAAAATAATAATAAAAATTTAAAAAATACATCATAATACAATGCAATCTAATATGTGCAATGCACATATTAGATTGTGTAAAAAAAATATTTCTATATTAAACATCATTTTTTTAATTATTAGTTATTTTAAAATTTAATATTTTTTCTGTTTCTAAAGTTTTATATTTATATCTATTGTAACATAAATAATCATTATACCTAATTATCGTATTCATAATTATTTACGAAATTTTGACATTGGAATAAATATTAGAGAAATGTAATGCGAATTGTTATCTAAAGCAAATATGAAAAAATAGAAAATTCTAATATTTACATATAGAGACGATAACAGAAATTAAATCCAATCAACTATATTAAGAGACATATTAACTTTTCAATTAAGAAATTTAAGATTATTCATTTATTAAAAAATTCTATTTTTTAATTAAAATTGAATAATTGAATCATTTTATTAAAATTCGAACTTTTATATTAATATTGGCGAAAAATTATCAGGAAATCGATAATTCGAGTTTTGTTTTAAAATAACGCTTCAGATTACAAAAAATAGATTACAAAAAATGATAATATAAAATATCAAATACCTGTTAATATTTTACACGGTCGATTTATTTCTTCAATCGTCTGCGGTACTTGAATCTATGTATTTGTACTATTTTACATGGATCGCGTGTACACGGTGATCGCGAACTTACTGAGCTCCTTCGTAACTTGTGTTGAAAGTTGTACTGTTGTAGAACGACCTACCGATCTCTCTCTTTCTGTTTCTCTCCCCACCTGCACCTAACTGTAACTGCATCGAGACACATTCTGAACTTTTTTTCCCTTTACGTTAATTTTCCCGTGATTATTTCAAACGAACTAGAAAATATATATTGTAAGTAATCTTCTAAGAGTTTCTTATCTTGTGAAACAAAAAAATTTTACGTCATCTGTAAATACGCTTTTTACTAGAACAACATTTGCCGTATCGAATGTGAACCATTAGATATTAATGCCTATTATAGTCGACGTAACTATATGTTTGCTAGAATAAAAAAAAAATAGAAATCTCTTTGTGTAATCTATAATCTTGTTATAATTGATGCCAAAACGATTTAACATTTATTGGCGGAAAGTTGTTACGTTTGGTAAGAGACTCTCTTGTCGGGAGAGTAACCGGTGTTGGTTTTCTTCCACTCTCACTCTCTCGCTCCTATAAAGAGTTCACAGACCTTCACCGTTCTTAGATGCACACAAGATTATCCAGAAGTAATAGAAACTTAATTATAAGTAACTTAATTATAACTTGATAAAAATCGAATATACGAAATATGAAATGTTAAAAAGGAAAAATGTTACTTAATAATTTCTTGTATACACAGAGTTTAAATTAAGAGTTTAAATGCATCCAAGAGAATTGCAAGAGTATGTTAACGATAATATGTTAACGAAACAAAAGAAGTATATTGTTTTTTTTTGCTATTTTAAATCTTTAAGAAATAGTAATCATTTATTTTTATTACATCTTATTTTATTTTGAACTCAAGAAAAACTAAATATACATTTTATTAAAAATTTCATTAAAACAAATATATCATAATGTTATTTATGAAAATTATTTAGGAAAATTATTCAAAATTAAAAAAATAAGTAAGTAATATACCAGGATAAAATATCTATAAATGATAGCAGTTCTAATTAAAAACCGAAAATTTGTTTACATAAAATTTTATTAAACACTACACTTTATTTATATAGCAATTACAATTTTCAAAAAATATAAATTGTTATAAAATTTTTATTTTTCTTGTTATAAAACATTTAAAACATTATTTAATTTTTCTTGTTATATAAAACAAGAAAAATCTACGATAAAAGAAAATAATTGTATGATTATTTGTGTCTCATTAACCTTTATAATTTTTTTTATCTGTTTAATTGATTGAAGAATATAAATAGAAAACTTTTTAAAATATATAATTTTTCTCGCTATATAACATAAAATTACACAACAATTATATTTTAATTATTGAATTTAAATTATAATTAATAATGTTACTCAGAATTTATCTATTTACTGCACAAAAAATTATTATAAAAAATTGTTTATCGATAATGTAAGATTACTATTTTATTTTTATTATACTTATTTTCTTATATATATTTTCTTATATTTATTTTTTCTTATATTTTTCTTATATTATTTTCTATTATATTTCTATTATATTTTCTATTTATATTTTTTTGTGAGAGTTATTACCGTAATATAACGATCCATAAAATACGTGATAGACAAGTCTACGTAAAAAATGACTCTATGACATGATGATGTTTATTATGTTGCGCATCACATTTACTGCAATCACTATTTACGCTGTCGGAATTACTTAATGATTAAGCCGTCCGTTTAAACACGCATTATTAAATAAAATGCATAAGAGTAATGAGACGGATCATGAGCAATATTAGATGAATGTGAAAGCCACCTACATCAGGTTATCGACCTGAAAATGGCGATGCACTGCTTTGTGCATCAACTCTGCGAAAATTAAATTCTCTTGATCCGAATTTTTAGTAATATACCAATAGAAATAAAAAAATATTTTGTTTTTTTAAAAATAGTTAAAAATAGTTTTTAAAAATAGTTAAAAATAGTTTTTAAAAATAGTTAAATTAATTTTTTTAAATTAATTAATTAATAGTCAACATTAGGTAACTTAAAAAATTATAAAATGGAAAACATTAATTACATATAATTTAGCTATTAATTTTTTTTAGATACAAGAAATTCTAATAACAGCACTTACAGGAATATTAATAAATTTTTTATTTTTAATTATTTTTAATTATTTTTCTAATAAGTAATTTAATCAGAAACATTGTAAATAAACAATGCCGTATAAGAAAGAAGGAACAAAGTGAGATCATAAAATATATATATTATTTATTTTTATAGGTTTATTATATATAATTAGCCGTTGGGTTTATGGATTATCCATCATTAAATTTTTTTATGTGCATTTTAATGATATAAAAGATTTAAATCATAATAGATGGCTACAATCTTTTTAAAGAAGTGGAAGTCGTACATGTTTTATATTTCAAATATTTATTACTCCTTTTTTTCTTTTCATAATTTAGAACAGGCTTAACAAATTTATATATCATCCGTTTATATATAGAAATATTAAGAATATTTGTACGAAGTACAAATCTCATCGTTTTTAAAATAATGTTGCATTAGGAAACACTGAGATCAAGTTGCTGTCTGATATGAGCGTTTGTCTAGTCACCTTTCACAATGTTATCTAATCAAATCCAGGATGTCGGGTCTCCAATTTTGCAGAAATAGTATTGCGCAAAAAGATTCTGTGACGACGGAATAGATGAGAAAAAAATGTGTGTTAAATTAGGAAAGAAACTTCAATTTAATTGTGATTTGAGGTTGCATCGTGTGTGGAAAGAAAATTTATTTGCATGCGAATTAACCGGCAGTCACCGCTGGCTAACCGCGGATCCGTATTGTCGATTCCTATATAATTCAAAAAGCATATACGATGATTCCAAATGAGTACGAATGAAGTAAGCAGTAGACACAAAGAAACGCTTTCGCTTTTCTGGTCTGTTTCTCATTTGTTGTACGCATACATCGCGGGAACAGAAATGTTGAAATAGTGATTTAAGTTGAGTGATTTCAATTCGCATTGGATCTGGTTATACATTATTGCAAACATTAATGGAAAACTATAAAATGTTCAAGAGCTAATCTGCGATTTAAAAAATCTTTAAAGAAATCTTTGACATTAAATTAAAAATTTAACTCTTTACAAAATAAATAGATATTTTTTAACTCTTCACGAGGTAACGAAGCATGTTGTACTGTAATCTGTAAAATAGTAATAGTTATACAATCTATAAATAAAAATTGGGCAATCTATAAGAATAATAATAAAAATATTACATACAATAATACACAATAATATACAAAATATTATACATAATTCTTTTGTGCTATGTAGTACGTATTTATAGCAGACAGCTATGTAACTATTTGGAATAATGAATGTGCGGAATGTTTTCTTCTTCTCACATTATATACTACATCAGTCTCGCTTAACCATGGCCTTGACTGCTCGGCAATATTTGTATACCTATTTGAAATAAAACTGGTCTCTACATATAACAGCTCCTTGTAGCACATAATCAGGAATTCACGTTGCTTGCATCATATGTTGTCGAATCTTGATGAAACATTATTACATATCTGTTATTTTCGGTGTCGAGAAGATACAAAAAACTTTCATACAGATTAATGGACCAAAAATGTCTGAACGAACCAGTTTGCCATCGTAAGATGCAATTTATTAATAATTCTTTATTACAATGCATAGTAAAAGTGTATTAAACGTGAAAAATTATAAAGTTTATGTTCATAGTTATATACAATGAAAAATTAAAGAGACGAAATAAGAGAAAGAAATTATTAGAATTAACTTTAGAAAAATAAAATATTATCACAAAATGAGATTCTTTACTTTTTATTAAATAGATAAATGCAAAAATTCTTCATAAAATAAAATTCTTTTTAAAAATTATAAATTAAGTTATTATAAAAAAATGATAAAATTATTTTTCTCAAAATCATATTTAATGGATTAACAAATGTAATTAAATGGATTAACATTTTAATTTATAACTTTTATTTTATTTTTTTAATATTATAGAATACAATTACTCTCGTTTTTATGTTACTAGACACAAACGCATACTTCACGCGCGTTATTTAATTTTTATTTTTACTTTTTAAAAATAAATTGCATTGATATCTCCTCCTATACAAGTTATCATTTGCTAACTTTGCAATGACATGAGTAAGCGCAACAAAAAATCAGCATCACGAAAAAGCAATAACAATAAGCTTCGAAAGATGCGAGTATGTCGATGACATACTTTCTTTTAAAAAAAAAGACAATTTTTTTGTTTTATCAAGTGTGCAGTTTATTGCAATAAAATGGCAATAAATTAAAATTGCTATGTAAAATAATATTTACATTCTTTATATGTATTTTTTAGCAGCATAAAATTTACATATTTGTTAAAACATTGATAACACGGAAAATATAAAATGATTTAATATTATAAAAAGAGATAATATTATAAATTATAAGTTTTACATATATCATAATAAAAAATCTATAATATTGTGAAAAGTGTTTAAACAACATATTAATATTATATATATAATATATAAATATATATAATTTTTTACAATAATATAAAAAGTTATAATTTAATAACAAAATTTTATCTTTTTATATTTTTTTGTATTGAAAAATATTGCAAAAATTTAAAGTTTAAATTTGTTCTATTATCATAAATTAAATAGAATAAATCTTTTCTATATTATGTTGTAATGGAATACCTATACATATCTCTTTTACAAATACAAGTACATAATCTCAATATTTAGTCAGTACGTATTGTCACAGATTTCCATTGTGTAAATACATAATACATTTAGTATTTGATCAGTGCATATCCTACGTTTCCATTGGGCAAATAAATTGCATAAGACAAATGAACTGTCATCGTCAATATAGTACATACATATATAATTAAGTTATGTCTGAATATTTTTAAATTCTAAAGAAAATGTTTTTACAAATCTTCTTTTGTTGTTCGATCACATAATTGAATATTAATATTTATATTAATATTAATATTTTTCTCAGCATAATTTATTCTAAATATAATAGAAATATTTTTTATCAAATATAATTTATTTTACATATTATAAATACTTTCTTTTAAATACTCTTCTAAATAAGCAAAGTGTGCGTTTTTATTATAGTTTTTTTTTGTAATGTAATACTATCTTCTTTAATAGTTTATCTTTCTCTTTGTGAAAAAATTTTAACATTATATAGTTTAGTAAAGGTTAAAATATTTTTACAATGTTATTTCTTATAGTCTTAAGAAATATTCTTCTTCCTTGATTTGATACATTATATTTCGAGGTTTAGTAGTAGTTCTTGCAGATTTTTTTATACAACGTGATCTAACATATTTAAATATCAATAGTTTAATTTTCTAATAGTTTAAATCTAAACATTTAAGTCTACTTTAAAATAATATAATAATTTCGAAAATTAGACTTAAGATCGTTTGTGTACATGTATGTATGTGTGTTAAACAACTCTATACACACACACACACACACACACACACACACACACACACACACACACACACACACACACAGCGCGCGCGCAC